GAAAAGGGCAGTTGGTGCTAATGTCAAATGTATGCAAATTAGCACATTTTAATTACAAATTTTAGACATTTTAAGGGCATTTTAATGCCTGATTAGCATATCAATGTGGCGATTTTAATTACTCCATTAAGTTAGCCTGTATGTAGTCTTTTGTTCATCACCACTCACCTCAACTGGAAAGGTAGGGAGGGCTTCACTTCTGTGGCACTCTGCCTGCCTGTGATGTGCGTGCCGATCAATGTGTGCTACACTGCTGTGCTGCGGAGACACGGAGAGACGCGGAGGGGAGAAAGGCATCGGAACTCGACAGTCTCAACATTTCTCAACACAACATGAAATTTAGATTTTTTTATTTGTTTGACAGGGAAAGCTGTGCGCAAACAGAAACACACACCTGCACACATATATTAATATATATATATATATATATATATAAAAAACCCTCCCCAGAAAAAGGGCACTTTCTCTCGAGGAAGAAAAAGGGCAGGTGCTCAAGCCCCCTTTGATGTCTATGTGTGCACATGCCTGCTCTGGCGAATTCTCTCATCAGAAACAACAAAGTGCAGATGTGTGTACAATGCAAGTAAGATATTCATTTCACAGTGTCAACAGCTTCAATGATTATAATGGGAGTTTTTGAGAGTGCCTGATCTCTGGCTAGACTGAAGTTAGTGAAAATGTTCTTTGATAAAGAAAATGTTCTTCTCTCTCTTTCTGTACAATGATATAATAGTGATATAATTAAAAACATGTTTGTGCATTTTCTTGTGTCTGTTTTCTTGTTTGGTGTTAGACAGAGAAGAAATAATTTGCTTTAATAGGCCACATGGTAAGAATTACCATACATAAGACTTTCTGGACTGTAACGTATATCACAAAGAAATCAATTTAGCTAGTGTTTCAAGAAGGAGGCCCAGTCTGTTCGTTTGTAAACTGGACAGCAGCGATGACTGCAAATTATATTCTGTTGCCAGTAAATACAGTTATTGACCACTAGGGGGCCTTAGTGCACTTCCAAGAGAGAATTTCTGAAATGACTCTCAGGTTCAAATGGTTTAGAAATGACTCCAAGGCTCCTTTTTGTCCAAGGCTATATTCAAAGGCACTTATATCTATGCTGATATGTACCTCTGGAACCTGTGTTGTAATAAAAATACAAATACAAATACATGCAATAAAACATTAAATGTTAGAATAATGCTGTACATCTTTATTTTTAGAGTTTTCTGTTGGAATGTTAATTAATTATGATTGTAAACTAAACACAAATAATTAAAGACATATTAGGTCGTTCTTGGAAGTTTGCTAAGGACTCCTAGTGGTCAAGGGCTTGAGAACTACCACAAAAGTAAAGAAATGATAAACATCCATTGAAGATCTACTAATCTTACAATGACTTCCATTCACTGATGGACAGAAACAGGATATGAAAAAAGTTACAGGATGTCACACTTAAGTGTGAGATGAAGAACAGCTGAAGCTTCTTATAAATAACTTGTCAGTTCTTGCTAGAGGTGAAAATAATTACTTTAACTACAGATTTATCTATGCCAATGTTATTTTAGTATCACAGAGATATTAATAATTTGAATCAGTTTTTATTTTTAGGTTTTCTGTTTTCATTTGAATTTTAATTAAAGTTTTATTAATTTAGCTGTATATTTAATGAGAGAATTTTTTTTTAAGTTTATTTGAGTTTTCACAGATATATAGATGCATTTAATATCAATCTTGTTATTTCATGCACGGATAGTATTGTATTTAATATTTGCATATTTCAAATTGACAGTACAATTTCACAGTATATATATATATATATATATATATATTTATATGTGTGTGTGTGTGTGTGTGTGTGTGTGTGTGCATCTCAAAAAATTTGAATATCGTGAAAGTTAATTTTTTTGGTTACTTATTTCAAAAAGTGAAACTTTTATATATTCTAGATTCATCACATGTAAAGTAAAACATTTCAAAAGTTTTGTTGTTGTTGTTTTAATTTTGATGAATAGAGCTTACGACTCATGAAATCCAGTATCTTAAAATATTAGAATATTTCCTAAGATTAATCAAAAAAGGGATTTGCAAAACAGAAAAGTTCAAGTTCTTTAAAGTATGTTCATTTCTGCACTCAATATTGGTCAGGGCTCCTTTAGCACAAACTCCAGCATCAGTGAGGTGTGGCATGGAAGCGATCAGCCTGTGGCACTGCTGAGGCACTATTGAGCTTCAGCTTGTCTGGATTGTTGGAGCCACTGTTTCTCATCTTTTTCTTGAAAATATCCCATAAATCCCATATGGGGTTCAGGTCAGGCATGTTGGCTTGCCAATCAAGCACAGTCATATCATAGTTAGCAAACCGCTTGGAAGTGGTTTTGGCACTGTGGGCAGGTGGAAAAGGAAATCAGTTTCTCCATAAAGCTTGTTAGCAGATGGAAGCATAAAGTGCTCCATCATCTCCTGGTAGACAGCTACATTGACTTTGGACTTGATAAAACAGAATGGACCAACACCAGCAGACGTCACAGGTCTGCCCAAATCATCACTGACTTCAGAAACTTCACACTGGGCTTCAAGCAGCTTGGATTATGTGCCTCTCCAGTCTTCCTCCAGATTCCAGACCTTGATTTCCAAATGAAATGCTAAATTTACTTTTATCTGAAAAGAGGACTTTGGACCACTGAGCAACAGTCCAGATCTTTTTTCTCCTTAGCCCAGGTAAGATGCTTCAGACATTGTTTCTGTTTCAGAAGTGGCTTGGTAGCCCTTTTCCTGAAGACGTCTGAGCGTGGTGACTCTTGATGCATTGACTCCAGCTTCAGTCCACTCCTTGTGAAGCTCTCCCAAGTATTTGAATCGGCTTTGCTTAACAGTATTCCCAAGCTTGCGGTCATCCCTGTTGCTTGTGCACTTTTTCCTACCCAATTTCTTCCTTCGAGTCAACTTTGCATTTAATATGCTTTGATACAGCACTCTGTGAACAGCCACTCATTCAGTAATGACCTTCTGTGACTTACCCTCTTTGTGGAGGGTGTCAATGATCGTCTTCTGGACCAATGCCAAGTCAGCAGTCTTCCCCATTATTGTGGTTTCAAAGAACAAGAGATACCCAGAATTTATTCTGTAGGGATGGTCATTTAATGAAACTCAAATGTAAATATTCTAATATTTTGAGATATTGGATTTTTGACTTTCACGAGCTGTAAGCTCTAATCATCAAAATTAAAACAAAAAAACTTTTGAAATGTTTTACTTTATATGTAATGAATCTTGAATATATGAAAGCTTCACTTTTTGAAATGTTACAACCAAATATATATATATATATATGTGTGTGTGTGTGTGTGTGTGTGTGTGTATGTGTGTATGTGTGTGACACACACTCACAAACTGACATCAACCACAAACATCCTGTTCAAGCTGATTTTCTACCCAACAGATCAAAGCACATCTTTGTACAGGTGTAAATAAATGACATAAGAGTAGGTTTTATTTTGACTTACAAACTAGTCTATACTTGTGTTTTATCTGCATTTGGGCCACGGGCCTTCAAAGCTTTAAAATCCTCAGGCTTTGTTTGTACAGTATAGAGAGTTTGTTATTAACAAATTTTTTTATATTTACATATGTACAGAAATGTCTGTGCTCTCACATCAGTCCCAAAGAGGAAATATTTATGTTTTTTATGTATTTTTCATTTGTAAGATATATACATTGTATTGATAAAACTTACAGGTATGTCAAATATTTACAATATATGTTATTTAAAGCAGTACTACAAACAACAATGCTGTACAAACATGGTGACACTGTACATTATTCTCCCCTTCAGTTATGAAATTGATGCAGCTATGTTCTGAATCATGTTTCTATGGTTTTAGAAAGATACTTACAGAAGTTTGCTATAGAGTGCTGCAGTGATGATGTGTTTTTGTAGGCCAGCATCACTCTGGCTATAAACAACTACACCCCAGTCGCAAGAGCTCTCTGTCACCATCACTAAGTTTGAGCTGGTGGTCTCACTCGGTCTCACATTAGACACATTTTTACTGTTGCTACTGTCTTTCTTGTCAACACTCTTGGAATTTATGGGAATAAATAAATTTCAATGCACCAAAATTCAGGTCCTGATGTAAGCTGGATCTTGTACATAGATTGAAGATCATCTTTAAACGACGACAGGCGCATACACTACATTATCTTCCTCTTTAACTTTCTGTAAAAAAACAAGAATCGCAAAAACATACTTTATGTGATTTATTACACTGAAATGGGCTAATTTTGTACAGTGATGTAAAGAAATAACTCTTGTGTGTGACTATGTATGTACCTATACAGTAGGTGTCCACAAAACTGGCCTGGAATGTACAGTATCAAACGATCCATAAGTAAATAAGTTCAAAAATATTATTGCTACTCATCTAAAGCATTTGCACAGTGATGTCATCAGCTGACACAGGAAATATATGTCAAAATGCCTCGTGTTGAGCACTATAGGAGATAATGACGAATGTCCTTTTAATAGACATGGGCATTATGGGATATGAGGCGCTTTCTCTCTGATTGATGATGTTATGGCTTTTATAAATGTGTGTGTGTGTAATAGTGTGTGATGTATGCGATCAATTATTATATAGACAAAAACACAAGCGCAGGCCAATCTAACCCCCTGATATGATACAGAGATACAACATACAGTATAATAGGAATAAATGATCTTACCGCTTTCTGTGCTTTTCTTGTACCAGGAGAGAGTCACATTCACCACATTCACCACTGAACACAGCAATGAACAATTCTGCTGTGATGATGATGATGATGATGAAGAAGAAGAACAGTTTGTTACAGAGTTACTGCTGATGACAGGAACAGACAGATTAGCTAAAAAGAAAAACACGACAGAATAAACAGAAATGTGGATAATGGTGTCTGATCAAACATATATTTTTTTTATTTTGCAGTATAAATTTGTAAAAAAAAAAAAAAAGCTTTCTACTCACCATAGACATAAACACTGAATGTTTTTGATGACCGTTTAGCTCCGCTTATCTCTAGTTTGTAAAGTCCAGCGTGTTCAGATGTGGTGTTTGTGATGGTCAGAGATCCAGTTTGGTTGTCCAGCTTCAGTCTGTCTCTGAATCTCCCATCAGGAACATCAGATGTGTTGAAGATTCCAGGATATCTCCTGATTTGAGCTATCAGAGACATTTTCACTCCAAATTTCCACAGTATGTCATCGTCTTCAAGTATTTCAGTGTCATCAGTGTTCAGAGTGACAGAATCTCCCTCCATCACTGATATATATATATATAAAATGGGCTCATGTCTCTTTGTCGCTGATGGTATGACCTAGGCTTTTCAACCTCTACGTCATCTGGTGGTCAAAATAAATCCTGTCTTTTTCTTCAGTACCAGATATGGGTGTAATGGCAGGGGCAAGGCCAGAAATGTTTAAGTAGGTGGGCCTACATAAAATCGGGTGGACAAGGTGTATCCTATGAAAACTGCAAATGAAATTGCCAACAGAAAATACAGCAAAGATTCAATACACAGTACTTCTAAAGCATTGATTAACATTACTTTTAATATCAACATTCACTAATTATTCAAATGAAAAGTTAGCCTACCTGTTAACATTTGTACCTGTGCTAAAAAAAAAGGTGTATTTTTATTAACTAACATTTACAAAGATTCATTACTACTGTAACAAATGTATTTCTGATTGTTAATTTTAGTTAATGGATTACCTTACGTTAACTAAAGTTTAGTGTAAAGCATTACTTTAGTCTGAGATAACAGGGTTTTGCAAATGATCTCATAAAGTTCCTCTGTCAGTTTGCGTTCAAATGAGAATTAACGTAGACCTTATGTAGCTGTCGCAGAAAAGGTGGAATTTCAGTCATTTATTTTGTGAAAAGGTATTTAGTTCACAAATGGTGTGGAATGTATTATGAATGTTCATTTGAAAATTGTATTTGAGTATCATAAAACTGGGTAATAGGGACACCTACAGGTTAAATATGTGTAACGTTAGTTGAATTTATCACGTGATAGCTAGCCATGCATTAGATCCACAAAGAAAAGCACACTGGGAGCTGTCGTCCGATTGTAAAATTATCTGTTAGAAGGAAAGCGTACATATAAATGTCGATTTCCGATTAGAAGGCACACTCGGTATCACTAGCATAGCCAGGAATTACAATAGCCCAGAGAAAATCGGGTGGGCCTAGCCTAAAATATATCTGTTATCAAAATAGGCCAACACAACTAACAGTTACACCTGCTTGAATTTACATCACCGTTTAATCAGAGCATAAGCCTGCATGTCATCATAAGCAGTGTTAAGAAAATAACGATAAGAACAGCATGAGCACGGCGGCCACACCACACACACGCGCATCTGACATACGCAACACAACACCATCATCAAATCAGCAGGACAGTAGTAATGGACAGTATGCAAAACCCATGCTTGGTCATAGTCTGGCTCAGCGGCCACATAAACCACATTAAATAAATAACAGTGACTAGGCAACTAACGTTAGGAAAATGTAGATTTTTATACCTGTACACGGTTGTGCAGGGGAGGTAGCCTTTAGAGAATGGAGCGCTGCTGGTGATGGAGAAATATGTGAATTAAAGTTAGCACTCTCGCGGAAAAAGTACAAAACGGACTCATAGAAGTAACGTGACGTGCCAGGAAAACCTTAATATGGACAAAGGCATGTATAATGGCATCCAGCGGTCTCTGCTGTAGCTAAGGGGCTGTTCGCAAACTTATCTTCATCATTATATGGCAAACAAGAAAAAGCAACAACACAATTTATTTTATAGATAAAGTATTGTGATTACTGCAACAGAATTAACAATGATTAGGCTACCTTCTGAAGCAACTGACTGGGTGGGCCCGACTGACAGCTACGCGACTACTGAGGGGGCACGTGCCCCCTCACTTTGAATGGTCATGAGTCATGACGCCTCTGGCTAAAGTACAAGATTATGAGATACATTATGAATGTGAATGCTTGGCTAAAGAGATGTGTCTTTAATCTAGATTTAAACAGAGAGAGTGTGTCTGAACCCCAAATGTTATCAGGAAGGCTATTCCAGAGTTTGGGAGCCAAATGTGCTCTACCTCCTTTAGTGGACTTTGCTATCCTAGGTACTACCAAAAGTCCAGAGTTTTGCGACTTTAAGGAGCGTGATGGATTGAAGCGTGGTAGAAGACTAGGTACGCAGGAGCTAAACCACTGAGGGCCTTATAAGTAATTAGTAATATTTTGTTACTGATACGGAACTTAATGGGAAGCCAGTGCAGAGACTGTAAAATTGGGGTAATATGATCATATTTTCTTGACCTGATATTGTGCATTGCCACGGCTCAAGCATGAATCTAATGTTTAGAGGAGTATGTTTGACAACTTCATTATGTTTACAGTCTGTTTTGGATCAGTTTGATCATGTAAGTATCATAAATGACCCCTTGTGTTTAATAACAAAACAAAGAATGATTAGTAATTGTCTCCAGTTGGCCTGATTAGCTAAGCCCTCCATGAAAACACAAAACAAGCCCTATAGTTAATAATAAAAAAACACATATTAAAGAGGTACAGTACAGCATGATTTGTAGATTATATTTAATAGATTACACTTTGTATAAACATTTGTGATTTGTTTGTACAAGGTATGATTACATGCTTAGCCTGTGTATTCATTGCATTTGCAGTATGACCAGAATGTGTCACCATTTGTGTTTATGTATTTTGTGTATACCTCACATGTATTTCTGGACTACCGTGTGCATTTCTGGATCTGTGTTGTGTTTCTGGCAGTGTGGTAGGTTATAATACTGTTTTCACTCTTTATGTGGCTCATTAGCAGGAGTGCAATCTCTTTTCAGGCTAGACGACATTATTTTTTAGACAGAATGTACATTAAAACTTGGATCATTTCATGTATGCTATTGATATTGCAAAGGATCTCCATCAAAGGATACAATATCTCTGTGAGGAAGTAATTAAATATTGCATTGTTGTACCAACATGGCAGTGATTTCATTCTGTTTTTCCATAAGACGCAATATATTTCCTTGTTCTCCATCAGTTAAGGATTGTCTTGAAACAGGTGCATCGCTACTACGGTTACAGGGTAGCTGCCCATTAATTGATGCAGTTGACTGTAATGGTGTTATGGACCTTGGTTGTAGCACAGGGTGAAGCTGAGAATTACTATCCTTATTTCTTGCACCTCTTGTCGAATTGTTAACAGGCAGAGACTGTGACTCAACATGTGTGTCAACTTGAACTGATGCAACTGCTATCGAATTGAAGGAGATCAGTCCATCATTTTCCTTTCTTGATTTTCTTACTTCCAAATGTATACTTTGTTCTGATGCAGCAGACCTGTACACATTAACTTTAGCCATAGACACAGCTATTTTAGTTTGAAGATCAATTTTTTCCTTCTTTTTTCTTAAGCGCCCCTCTTCCTCTTCCACAGCATGCTTCTGTTGCAGCATTTGCTGACTGGCTAATAAAGCCACTTCAGCTTCAGCTTGAAGACGAGCAGATGGCGTAGATGATCTACTAGATCGTGAACCAGAAGAAAGAAAAATAATATTCATCAAAGATTTTTTCTTTACTGGAAACACTGAAGCTCTTGAGAGATGATGTCACTTTGTTGCATGAGAGTGTGATTCCTTTACTTCCTGCTGAAGAACAAACAAAGCAAAATGAATGGTGTGGCTCAGTTTTACGGTTCAACAAAGGGTTTATAGAAGATCTTATCATTCTATAACATCATTTATTAACATTAAATCGTCCTCCTCCCATTTTCACCTCAAATTGTTGGGGAAACTGTGCCTCCCCTGACGAGCCGCCACTGGAAATTGCAATGGCTTTTGCTGTTGTTTACGGAAGTTCTAAGCAGCCATGCATTAGTATAATTTCTTTCATGTTTTCTCGTACATGCCTTCTCAGTCCTAGCTTTTTAACAGACGGTCTAAAGTAATTTAATAATATTTTCTCCTTCAAAATGTTCATTTTCATTTACACCTTATGATATTGATTCATCTGATAAATGGCCTCATCTGGTGGGCTTGGAAGTTAAAACAGCATCACAACACTTTTCATGTAACTGAAACATAATGCAAAAGTTGTGTCATGTGAAGGTGATAAATATGATATTAACTTCACATAGCCTACAGTATGTACAAAATAAAATGAAAACATTTATTGAGTCGATTTAAAAACTGTAGATTGTTTTCTTAAACTGCTCAAAGGGATGTGATCTGAATGACTCGATACTCATCATTGACAGTAACATTGATGGTCCTTTTGATGCTGAATCTGCTTGTAATGGTCAAAGATCCAGTTTGATTGTCCAGCTTCAGTGTGTCTCTGAATCTCCAGTCAACATATGTTCATGATAAAACTAAGATCTTTATTGATTTAATTGAAGATAATGTCATTGAAATGCCAGTAAATGTCAGTAAATGTTAACTAACTTAGAGTTACACTCACGGGACAGGGGACACTGCTCTTATTTGCAATTGTAAAAGTACATTATATGCATGTGCTTTAAAGCCTTGCTGGTTAAACATTTATGAGCGTGTACAGCTGAAGCTTGCACGCTCTAAAAAGCCAAATAGTCAAGTCAAATAGCACCTGATTACTGGACCAAGTTATCTTTCGCATCTGATTGCACCAATACTGTCAAAAACACATTGTGTTTAAATATAAACACAGTTGGTTATGTCTAAAATGAAAGTAAACAGTTGAGAAAAAAGCAGATGTGTGCCTGTACATTAGATGTGTGCAGGTCTTAAAGTGACAGCAGCCTTTGATAATAGGAAAAAAATACTATTGAAGTCAGGGACCAGCAACTGTTTGGTTACCCACATTCATCAAAATATTTTTTTATGTTCAACAGAAGTAAGAAACTCAATCAAACAACTTGAGAGTGAGTAAATGATGACACAATTTTCATTTTTGGGTGAATTTTGGCTGTTTTTAATTTGTGAGTGTGTTTAAGAGGTCAGTTGTGTGTCCATATGACTAGCATGTGGTTGAAGAGCTTTTAAAATTATTCGATTTTAGTTAAGCTCAGTTATTTCTGATTACAGACTCTAAAATCAGGACAAATAAATGAATCAATTAAAATAATTTTATGGCATCTATCACATTAACATGCAGACCTTTCAAGTTAGTTTTTTTCCATTATAAGAAAGTGGCAATCATAAAGGCTACATATTTAATGTAAAGTAAAAAAAAAATCTTTGCAAAAACATTAAGATATTTCTAAATCTTATTGCGCTATAAGACCCTCACACTTCAGTGTTCAGTAGGCAGTCGAGGAGCTCTTTTAACGGATGATTAGCACAGTTAACAGTCCTTTCCACTGTTCAGCCAAACAGATTTAAATGGAATCAAACATACTTTTTCTGTTCAAGTGCAGACAATAATTTTCATCACAGTGATGGCATTCTGCAATACAAATGAAAACACAATAATTAAATGATATGAAATTACACTAAAATACAGCACAGCTCAACATGCTTTAAATCTGATAAAGACAAGAAATGGAAGGAAACAGATCATGTGAAGTAGTGACACTTTACCTTTAATGCCCCGCAGGCCTTCGTCTTCCTCGCATGAAAATGCAACTTGGCAGTAAAAAGGCAGAATGTTACACTTTACAATTCTACACATAATTCTTACAACAAAGTACAAATAAAAACATTCACTTTTGTACAATTTAACACTTAAGACATTCAGCGGAATCAGCAAACATCTGAAATCTATAGTAAATAACAAATGTCATTGTTCTATCACTAAACACACAATTGTGAAATGTGATTAAAGCACAATTCATATGGCTTGCACAGCAGCCAGTAACATACTGGGATATAATATAAAATAATACATTACACACATTTGGCTTTATTTATTTATTTATTCACTGATACTTAGATCCATGTCTTTCAGTGCAGTTATTACAAGTTCAGTTTCTGAGATTCAGCGTTTCGAGGAGACAATGGTGATATTTCTTGGCTCAACCCTTGCTGGATTTGAACTGCCTTTCTTTAACCGCAGACTTAAGTTAATCTCCAGATCATTTTAAACAAGCATTCTTTTAACATTGCTCAAAGAACTTTGAGAACATCTTGCCAGAACATTAGCTAAAGTTCAGAACCAGCAATACTGGCATAAAGAGATAATCCTGCAATGTTCATGTCTGGATCCCTTTAGCAGCTCTAATAATCCCACCAGCATTACCTACTGGACAAACCTCAAGCACTCTGGTAATGGCTTGCTTTGTTTAAACGTTTGGCATTGCCACACTATTTCTCCATTTGTGATGAGAATTTGAGATAAACATCTTCCCATTTTTTCTCATTTCCTAACTTCCTTTTATGTACTCTTTTAGTGAAACTATTAAAATAATAAATATCAGGCTGTCCTATTAGCCACGAATAGAACGTCAGGGCATCTCATTAACATCATTCATCTGCAGAGTCTCTGTCTTATGCAGTCTCTGAATGAAAATGTGTTTTTTTCCATCTCTGATGTTTGCTGTAATGTATTCTTCATTCTAAAGTAAAGAAAAAAGAAAAAGGCACAAGTGATCTCTTAAATAAGTCGATTATTATCAGTGTTTCTGTATTATGATTTCTGAATGAAAGACAGAGATAAAGCAAACAGATTCACACCACTTGAAGATCTCACAGATCTGAATTAATAGGAAATTCAGATTCTATGCTCATAGTATCTCACCTTGTCATCCTGTGCTGCCTCAGCGTCTGTTTGAACAATAAACACACATTTGTGAAATGTGACTAAAACACAATTCAGATGGCTTTGCACAGCAGACAGTAACAGTCATAGAATATAATGTAAAACAGTATGTTACAAAAATACATATTTGGCATTGTTTGGATACTTATATCCATGTCTTTCAGTGCAGTTACTAAAAGTTCACTTTCTGGGATTCAGAGCTTCAAGGAGACAATGGTGATATTTCTTGGATCAACCCTTGCTGGATTTGAACTGCCTTTCTTTAACCACAGACTTTAAACACACATTATATTAATGTTACTGGAAGAACTTTGAGAGAATCTAGCCGAAACATTAGCTAAAGTTTTGAGAACGTTCCCTGATAGCAAAGCAATGACAAAACAATAACAAACTCTTAATTTGGTCAATTTGAATAACAATACATAACCTTTAAAATATTCTGTTTGCACATTCAATCTCACATTTACATTTTGTTACAGTTACAGTTGTATGTAATACTTGCCGTTTTTTCCTTCGGATGATTTTTTTTTTACACGTATGTAAATCACACAAGCAGCTGCTGCAGCCACGACCAACAGAAAAGCAGCACCACCAATAACAGCAGCATGTATTCCTACTACATCACCTGAAGGTGGACCTGAACCTAGAAAAGCTAAAAACACACAGTCATTATTACTAGAGATCAACTGATAATCAATTTTACCAGTACTTTTGACTGACATCTACACCTTTCTACTTTCAGCAGAAAGTCATATGATATTGATGAATGTGGCCATCTGATGTATATTTATTTATTTGTTTGTTTGTTTATTTATTATTATTAGCAACAGTGGCTTACACAGGGAAACTATGCATTTCTCACAAAAATCTAACAATTGACTACAAAATTTTAAAATTCATAGTGTGACAAAACTCAATGTGACAACTATCTGTTGCTTTGATTTGCACGTGAAGATGATAGATATGATCAACAGTGAAAACAATTGCAGTAGGATTTTTCTAAGGCACTGAATGACTGAATTACACTCACAAGTGACAATAACACTGAAGCTCCTAATGATGCTGAATCTGCTGTTGATGATCAGTAGTTTATAATCTCCAGAGTCTGTGTTTGTGATGTTCATGATGGTCAGTGATCCAGTCTGATGATCCAGCTTCAGTCTGTCTCTGAAACTCTCTTTACACTGATCATCTGTACAGATCTTACTCTGATCTCCAGTGATTTCATCCACGAGAATATCATTAAAATACCATCTCATCAAGTCATTTGGTTTTATTACACCAGGATCTAAAGTAACAGATTCTCCCTCCTTCACTGACTTTCTCTTCATTTCATTTTGTTCAGCAGCAGAAACACCTGAAACACAAACCAACAGCTGCTGGAGGACCTTTTTGTGGACAAAAACAAACAAAAAAAAGCAAAACTACACTGTGGGCAAGAAGGTGATTACGCATGCTTTTTCTTGACTTTAAGTCTGAAAAGCAACATATATCCATGTTTTTGAATTCAAACCCTCATGAAAACAGATAATAAGTGAGGTGAAAAGATGATCAGAAATAGCATTGGAAGTTGTAATCTTTACCAAAACACGGATGTATATTTGTATGAACCAAAACTGTTAGAACTAACAAATCAGTGATTGAAATTGTTTATTTTTGCCGTCATTCAGTTTAATTATGAACACTGAGACAACTCTCCAAATTCCACTATAACAGAGTTAATTGATGATTTATTAATAGTCTAGATGCACTTCCACTGTGTTAAAGTGAAGTGACATGTGGCCAAGTATGGTGACCCATACTCGGAATTAGTACTCTGCATTTATCCCATCCACAGTGCACACACACACCCACCCACCCGGAGCAGTGGACAGCCTTTTTTTTTGCTGCGGCGCCTGGGGAGCAGTTGGGGGTTCGGTGCCTTGCTCAAGGGCACCTCAGTCGTGGTATTGAAGGTGGGAGAGGGCTCTGTCCATTCACCCCCCCCACCTACAATCCCTGCCGGTACGAGACTCGAACCCGCAACCTTTGGGTTACGAGTCCGACTCTCTAACCATTAGGCCACGACTTCCCTGTGTTAAAGGATTTAGTCAACAGATTTTGCAGTGCTGAGCACTTAAACCAGACATATCTGTTGAACACATGATCGAAACACCGAATCAGATGCATTTAAACTGCGCATAAGAGTTTTGTTCATTGTACATTCACTGACTCACAAATGCTCTCATTATAAACTACAAAGTCTGCATCTAAGAGCTAAAAAAATTCTGTTTTGGCAGAGTACTGAAGTAAGAAACCAACAAGGCACACCTTAATCAAATACTTAGGGGGGAGAGGCCTCTCCCCATCCACCCCCCCCACCCCCAATCCCTGCCGGTACGAGACTCGAACCCGCAACCTTTGGGTTACGAGTCCGACTCTCTAACCATTAGGCCACGACTTCCCTGTGTTAAAGGATTTAGTCAACAGATTTTGCAGTGCTGAGCACTTAAACCAGACATATCTGTTGAACACATGATCGAAACACCGAATCAGATGCATTTAAACTGCGCATAAGAGTTTTGTTCATTGTACATTCACTGACTCACAAATGCTCTCATTATAAACTACAAAGTCTGCATCTAAGAGCTAAAAAAATTCTGTTTTGGCAGAGTACTGAAGTAAGAAACCAACAAGGCACACCTTAATCAAATACTTGTGCTGTTTGAGATGCTTTCATATGGCAGATGCATTCCAGAATGACAGCAGGAACAGCAAGTATATGCTAAATTATCATTCCATTGCAATGACTGACATACAGTAGTGCAACATCACTGTTTTGATTTACTGATACATAAATAAGCAATTAATTAATTCAGAAACTTTTCTTTTTTTTTTTTGCATGTGTAGTAAACCTTGTTGACACAGGTTATTTTATGTAGGACCCATTATGCCCTTTTTCAAAGTCTTGATTTTGTTTTTATGCCCAAATGTTCAAAACCTTATTTTTCACATATTTGGCATTGTTGCACACTCTGTTATGTCTCTATGAAGCCCCGCCTTTTGAAAAGCGCAATGTGCTGTGATTGGCCGGCAGGACCAGTGCGTTTTGAGTGTGTTTGGAAAATGTCACGCATAATTCTCAACAATTGTGATTTGTCAGTCTGAGTGTCACTTCTATAGTAAACACAGTATATAAGTTAAGTATAATACATATATGACTCACCACTAACAGCAACATTGAAGATCCTGTCACTGTTGCGGCTGTTCATCAGTAGTTTATAAACTCCAGCATCTGTGGTTCTGATGTTTGTGATGGTCAGATCACCTGTGTGACTGTCCAGCTTCAGTCTGCCTCTGAATCTCTCTTTACACTGTTCATCTGTACAGATCTTACTGTGCTTATAAATTATTTCTGCTATGCGAATGCTATTAAAATACCATCTAATCCTGTCTTGTTGGGTCATTTTAACATCAGTGTGTAGAGCGACTGAATCTCCCTCCATCACTGACACACCATCTGTATCAACACCAAATGCATCTGAAAAAGAAATGAACAGCTCATCACAAGCCATTTTTGGAGTAGTGCTGTAAAAATGGTTTGATTTGCCATTTTGCTCAGCTGTTTTGTCACTAATCCCCTCATTTGCATTTGTATTTAAGTTCTATTGTTTCTGTTCATTATTGTTGGGTCTCCACTTAGGGTGATTGTGGATATGTTTGAATATTAAATATCTCTCATTTTCATCTTCGTTTGTGTTTACACAACCCATATGCGACAACAATGTTTTTCTACAAATCATACAGATTGTGGGTAGAAAAATGTGACTGGTATGTGCATTAAATGCAAACATGTAACACGTGCAAGTAAACACTGATTTAAAAGTAGTGATAAATATAGTATATTATTATTGACCGCTTATAAGGGATGGGAAATCAGTGTTGTTTTTCACAACATTATAACTTTAACTTATTTTATGTGTCTATTCAGAATCTATCACCTTTTTCACAGTATTAATGCCTTTTAGTCAGCGCCTTTAGTTTTGCATATATTTATGGACCTGCTCATGTCAGCTGTACAGCCCATTTCTGATGTGGTCAGTTATCTTAAATTAATTTATTACAGAATGTTAAAATGTAATATGTGACCCTGGACCACAAAACCAGTCGTAAGTAGCACGGGGATATTTGTAGCAATAGCCAACAATACACAGTATGGGTCAAAATTATCGATTTTTTTTCAATGGCAAGAATCATTAGGATATTAAGATATTTTGTAAATGTCCTACTGTAAATATATCAAAATGTAATTTTTGATAAGTTATATGCATTGCTAAGAACTTCATTTGGACAACTTTAAAGGTGATTTTCTCAATATTTAGATTTTTCTTTTTTTTCTTTCTATTTTGCACCCTCAGATTCCAGATTTCCAGATCTCGCCAAATATTGTCCTATCCTAACAAACCATTCGTCAATGGAAAGCTTATTTATTCAGCTTTCAGGAAAATGGACCCTTATGACTGGTTTTGGGATCCAGGGTCACATATATTACATAAGATATCAAATAAAGATCCTTGCCCAAACGTTTGTGGTTGGTTAAAGCCATATCAAGCCACAGTGACATTTTTTCAATCGGTGCTACATGACTAAAATACAGAGGAAAAGGGTGGAGCAGCCCTTTTGCCAAAAATGTGTGGAACTTTCACACCCATTAGCGGCTGGGCTTGATCAGCCAGTTTGAGGCATACAAAAATAATAATAATAATAATAATAATAATAATAATAATGTTAATAAAACCTTGTTACCTCAGTAAGAGAAGGAATACAACATGGCGAAAGAGTAAATATTGTTCATTCAATTTCATGTGCATAAAGTTGATAGAAATTATATCAATTATAATGTAATAATATAGGTCAATCTGCAATAGAAAATGCACGGAATGACTAAATGACACTCACCAGTGACAGTAACACTGAAACTCCTACTGATGTTGAATCTGCTGCTGTTGATCTTCAGTTCATAAGCTCCAGAGTCTGTGATTCTGGTGTTCGTGATGGTCAGAAATCCAGTCTGATGATCCAGCTTCAGTCTGTCTCTGAATCTCTCATCACACTGAACATCTGTACAGATCTTACTCTGATCTCCAGTGATTTCAGCGATGAGAGAGTCATTAAAATACCACATTAGAACATCATTTGGGTGTTTTATTACACCAGGATCTAAACTGACAGATTCTCCCTCCTTTTTCTTCATTTGGTCTAGCTGAGCAGCAGAAATGGCTGAAATACAAACCAACATCTGTCAAAACTAACAGCTTACCAAAGGTATTTTATTTTTAAATCAAACTGAACTGTTTAATGACTCAGACCTTAACTCTACAAACTGTTCTTGAATTCATTTCTCAGTACTGAATATCACCACAATAAATGTTATACAAACACCATTAACCATTCACTTAATGACTTACCACTGACAGAAACACCAAAGATTATTTCACTGTTATGGCTATTGATTAGTAGTTTATAAAGTCCAGAGTCTGTGATTCTGGTGTCTGTGATGGTCAGAGATCCAGTCTGATGATCCAGCTTCAGTCTGTCTCTGAATCTCTCATCACACTGATCATCTGTACAGATCTTACTCTGATCTCCAGTGATTTCTGCTATACGATCGACATGAAAATACCATTTCATTCTTTCTTGTTGGGATTTAATAAGTCCAGTGTATAGAGTGACAGAATCTCCCTCCATCACTGACAATGGCACTACATCTGGACCATCAGATGCAACTGAAGAAGAAATAACAGACTGTAAGTGGAGAAATATGTCTCAAAATATAATACATGCATGACACAAAATAAAACCGAATAAGAACATGGCTGATTTACACATTCACCGTGAGCCTCATGGATGATCGATCTACTTTTTATGAACATTATATATTCATGAAATATGTTTGAGTATTATTATGAATATTAGTCCTTTAATTGGTTTCCTCAAACATTAATCTTAAAACGCCACTAGTTTTTGTCTCCGCACAATATATTGTCATGTCTAAAAATATAACAATATGTAATCCTATACGCTAGCTAATTAAAACAATAAAAAAAATACATTTCTGTCGAGTGTAAAGTGACCAAATCCGATACAAAAATGAAACTGCATAACATCGCTTTTTTTTGTTATAGGCTACTATAAGGCAAATTATGTCTTACCAGGCACGAAGAATGCACTCAATATGATGCACAAAATAAAGATCTTCATTTTTAATGAATGCAGATAATGTGGAAATAAAAAGTGTTTTGTCGCTAAAAGGCCAATTCACACCTGTAGTGCTGTAGCCTATGTTCCTACTACCTACGTAAATTCTCAGATGTCCCGGTAACACACTGATCAGAAAAAACACGACTAACTTGTCTGTGCAGCGTGTGGTGGGACGTCCCGTGTAAAGTGAAAGTAGCCTAAGGCTAACCGAAGTTATTAAAAAAATTAAAATAAAATACAAGGCAAACGAGGCAAAGTCCTTCAATGTTAAATGTGTTTTGTAAAAGCCTTTTATTTAGCATATGGGAACAGAAAATAAAACACACTACCTTTTTTCCTTTAATACAGAAATGCCAATGAAGCATCAATTGCAGAAAAGAAAACAAGAATAAAGTTTTTCTTGATTGATAGGCTATTTTCTTATTCTCTAACTAATCACTTTGATGGCATTTATTTCTTTCAATTAGAATAAAATGTTATAAAAAAAAGAAAAGTTTTTTACCACATGATGGCGCAATCGAAGCCGTTGTAAAGTACACCTTTTTTTTCCTTTATTGAATCACTCAAATTCAACACTTCAAAGTAGCCAGGGGGTGGTTGTAAAGTACACCTGTGACGTAACAAGATGAGTATTACTGCGTCATTGTGTCTGTGTTGCTGCAGAACTTCATTGATTGATGGTACTGCTTGTCAAATTTTTTGTGCACTCATTTTATAAAGGTAAATGCAGCATGTGATATAATCAATAATGTCACGAATTCGGTCCATGGACTTCTGTTTATTCACCACCAGAGGTCACTCTTTCCATTACATTGACTCTCGCACAACCCCATCTGATATCTCGCACAACCCCATCTGATATCCCATCATTCATTGCATGGTTTGCACACTGCACTGATTGCACTCATTGCACACAGCTGTTTCTTATCACCTCACTCACTACATAACACTCACTCAAACTGCCATTCTCGGCTGAGTATTGTTTAGCCTGTACCCCTTGCCTGTTTTTGAGGTTTCTGATCTTTGCCTGTTTTCCTGGATTTTTCCCTCTCGTCTCGCCCCTGTGATTCTGTCTGCCGATCAGTGACCTACGCTAGCCCTAGGACTATTCTTGTGTTTTTGCCCGCCATATACCTGTTTTTTGCCATGGTTCGACCCTGCCTGTTATACCACGTCTCTTTAATAAAAGCTTGCAGATGGATCCACACGTCTCACGTCTCGTCAGCCCCGTTACAAATAAGCTCCAAGAAGCGTGATTTACAGTGATGTTAGAGCAGCTAAGGATCATTGTAGACATAACTCGTAGCTGTTTTAAATCACTGTAAACCACTGTTAATTATGCAATCTAAGAGAAAAGCCTCAGTGCTTCATTTTGCCATCGCTATCATTTTGTTTCTTCTTATTGACTTTTATAACAACGATCTCGACAATTTTAACAATTAAGTCAATGTTGAAATACTTAAAGGGTTGGTTGACAGTTTTTTTTATAGGCTTGATTGTGTTTATGGGGTGCAGTCTAACATGTGTAAAAGCATTTTTCACATAATTTACCTTTATTCCACACCTCTCTGTCCCTTCTCCTCTGAATGCACTGATAATTTCCTGCTTTTATGAAGCCCCTCCCTCAGAAATACATGATGGGCTCTGATTGATTAGCTGGCCCAGTGTGTTGTGATTGGCTAAACTGCCTCTAGCGCGAGTCTAAATGTCCCGCCCCTCAACATAACGGCATGTTCCCGGAGGCGGGGTTTATGTAAAATTCTGGGTTCTTGACGTAATAGACCCGGGAAGTAACTCGTTATTGTCCCTTACCAGTTGTTTTTGTAGGCATTAAACTGCCAGAATTTTAAAAGACGATATCTCCGTTTGCATTGAACTTTCAGCATCGTAACTTTGCAGATATTGTTTATGATCACACAGCAACATCACAGACTAACTAACATTAAAAAAGTGAAACCGCAATCAACCAACCCTTTAAGACAATATGTGCACACAATCAACTATACAGTTTTCTCTTGTAACCTTGAGGTAAATTCAGTAATGAATGATTAGTAAGAACCCAGTTCAGACAGGTTTTCATCAATTCATTTCATTTGATTGTAAATCTGTTCTGTGTAGGAGGGAAGTCAGACTGTGACTGTGAGGCTCATAACTGCAGCACAGGAAGAAGCCCTTCACCTACTAAATAAACACAGATGAAACAAAACTGCCACTGATGCACAAGATATTTGTCCACCAAACAGATCAAATCATTTCTGATGAAAACCGACCACAGCAACTTTCAGTTTGATTCAGATGTTGAGCTGCTCGTGCCATACCTCAGTTATAAGACTGGCGATAATATCAGATTATCTTTGTCATTTGCAACAACTGAATGATTATAAAACATTTTAATATCCATAAGATTTGAAACATCTTAAACTCAAGTTGTCTAATACAATATACACACAATTTTACACTTTTCTAACACAGTTTTCTAAAACAGTCAGAAAACTACCTTTCACTGAAATGATACCAATGTTTTAAATTTTTCCACTATCAAAAACAAGTCTTAAGAGCCAGAAAAACATTTATATGTTATATTTATACTCAAAACACACATTCACGGTGTGCATGTGAGGAGGGCCAAACTCTGTCGTGGGAGGATTCACATCAGATTGATTTTTATCAGCAGATAGTCTTATTATTACATCAGACTTTTGACTGAACAATTGAAGACAATGTTTCAGACACTTGGTTTGTTCTGTTTGTGTAGTTGGCATCTGATTGGTAAGTTACGAACACATTTTTATGGCCTGAATTCTTCCAGTTTTACAGTAATAGCGCTTCTGCTGCTGTTTTTAGCGAGCCTGTTTTAATGCGCCAAATACAAAAATATGAAACTATTGAAAATGTCAATTGACTTGTCCTGTAACTGCACATAGTTATATTACTCTACAAGCAGATAAAACACATTAAAGATCAAATGACTGGTTCACATTGTCTGTTCATGTATATCACATTTCTTTTGTGTCTCTGATCCTATTCTTCAGTTCATGTTTAAAGGTTACATACAACATCTGATTTCAGGCTTTATAAACCATCAGGAGTCTTAATCTGTGACAAAACATGTTCTCCAGGTGTGTTTGGTGAGTCAGTGTCAGTGATGGAGGGAGATACTGTCACTCTAAACACTGATGTTACTGAAATACATGAAGATGACAACATACTGTGGAATTTTGTACCTGTAAAGTCTCTGATAGCTGAAATCAGTAGAGATGTTGGAATCTTCTACACATCTGATGGTCCTGATGAGAGATTCAGAAACAGACTGAAGCTGGACGATCAAACTGGATCTCTGACCATCACAAACATCACAACTCAACATGCTGGAGACTATGAAATAAAGATAAGTGGAGCAAAACTGACATCAAAAACATTCAATGTTTCTGTCTATGGTGAGTACAGCTCATTTGTTCAAGCTTACACGTTCCTGTTTTATTAAAGGAATATTTGGGGTTTATCTTATTCGACTGCGTTTGCGGTTTAAAGTTGATTAACACAAACACAAACATTGAGCTTAATGTATACAGAAGTATGAATATTCCTTTAACTACATATTGAAATGTTTAATCATTTTATAGTTTTAGATGACATGCTCTGTTATTTCTGTTCATTCTCTTGTTTTCCAGCTCATCTGCCCACTCCTGACATTATCAGAGACTGTTCATCATCTTCATCATATTGTTCATTGTTGTGTTCAGTGGTGAATGTGGGTCATGTGACTCTCTCCTGGTACAAAGGAAACAGTTTATTGTCCAGCATCAGTGTGTCTGATCTCAGCATCAGTCTCTCTCTACCTCTGGAGGTGGAATATCAGGATAACAACACCTACAGCTGTGTGCTCAACAATCCCATCAGCAACCAGACCACACATCTCAACATCACTCAACTCTGTCACACTTGTTCAGGTATGCTGGTGTTAATTTTATCAGTGATTAAGCTGATCTATCAAGTTATACAGTCCTGTTGTTTCATAGTGTTTCTTGTCATGCAAACAGATTCAATCACTCTAATGGCTCATTTTGCTCATTACAGATCAGGGTGTACCTTTATTTTACATAGTGCTGATTTCTGCTGCCGCTGGGTTGGTTTTAGCTACAGTCGTGATGTGCTGCATCTGCTGGAAATGTAGAAAAACAGGTCAGCAGAACACGCAATTAATCTGTACAAATATTTATCTTTTTTTAAGACTGAAATTTTGATATAATACTGTAACTGTTGTTTTAACACATCTGCATTATTGTTAATGCAGTCCGGACACAAGAGGATGAAAGAACTGAATCAGCATTGTTTAAACCAACAACACGAAAAAGAGTAAGTCATTTTTTGAACAGTAGGTGGCACTGTGCTAAAACTGCTCATGTACCCTCAGGTCATGCTTGCTATAACACATACCAAGTTTGGTCTGCATCCGCTAATACATTGCAGAGATATAGCCTCACACCCATTTTTGCATGAACTTTGTAAAAATCTTAACTGTGCTTTATGAGAACGGTTTGATCTATCAAGAATATTTAAAACGTTTTTTTTTTTGGCAGAATGGTCTGAAGATGATCTGTGCCTATTTCGCTGAAAATTGGACAAACTGTCTAGGAAGATTTCGAAAAAGTAGATTTTTCTGAAAATTCTAAATTGCGGAAAATCTTGATCCGCAGAATGCTAATTTGGCCTGTTGGTGGCAGTCCAGAGTTTAAGTTAGAGACTCTTAATTTTCTATGGTTAATGTTGAGACTGTCCTCTATTTGTGTGCCAACTTTCATAACTTCCCCCACAAGCTGTTCTATGGGCTGCCATAGACTTCACTAATGGGAAAAAAACTGTTTGTTATTCTCAAATAACCCATGCAAAGCTTTATACAATTAGTTTGTCAGTGAAAAGAAAGTATGACACAAAGCTGTTCAGCATGTTACCTGTTCTGAAGTCTGGTCTTGAGCTGCAGCTGCTCTGCGGTTCATGATTATCTGAGGGGAAATGCAGCTTTAGCGGTCATTGGTTGATTTGTAGACGTGCTGCAAGGACAAGTATATTTGGTGTTGCTTTTGTGTAAAAACCATTCTCAGTACAGTGGCTGCCGTGACCAACCTTCAGAGATAAAATGTAACCTTTTTGTTGATTTAACTGCTTAAAAAGTCATGTGATGAACGAGACTGGTATAATTTCCTTTTGCTGCTCTGTTCAGTAGTAGTAGTTTTTCAAAACACAACAAAATTGTCAGTATTTGTAGATTAAGCTTTGCACAGAGAAACCTAAGTTAATGGGCTAATAATTGCTGTCACATCAGCAGATTCCTGATTGAGTTTGTGTTTCCTTTGCAGAAATCAAAGGAGGGGCCTGTGTATGAAAATATTCCTAAAAAATTATGATCAAATAGCCTACTGTATCTACTGGAATTGTTAGAGTTCATGCAAGTTTGTGGATCAGACCTTTTGGATTGCTTCACATATTCTCTGACAGAATGTCTACATTTGTTTTTCTCACCCATATGCACATATTGTTAATATAATAGTTTAAAATGTTGTTGCTCTGTATTAGTGTAATTTAATGATGTGCAAATAGCATCCAGAAACTTAACTAAAATGTTCTGTGATCTCATCATTTGGAAATGTATCTAACTTTCATTATTAAATATTGAACCCACCCTTCACCATGCTCATTGTCTATCAAATACTGCTCTCTGTCACTAGTTTTTTAAATTTTGTTTTATTTGTTTTCAATCTCTCTCTCTCTCTCTTTCTCTCTCTCTTTCTCTCTCTCTCTCTCTCTATCACTCTCTCACTCTCTCTCTCTCACACACACACACACACACACACACACACACACACACCAACACACACAATACGATGGATGTTTTGGCAAATGTAATACAAGCAAATCATCGCTCTCTATTGTCTTAAGCAGAAAACAATTAAAAAACATAAGGCTAGTTTTATCTAATAGAGTGCGCTATAAATAGATGCTTATGTTCCATAGAGGAACTGCTCTGAGTGCTGATGTCTGATTTTTGCGCTGCCTCCCATTGCCTGTTTGAACAATAATAAACTCAGTTAAATTTAGATGACATAAAAACGTCATATTAACATATTATTATATTAGCTATACCAGGGGTAGGCAAGTTCGGTCCTAGAGAGCCGCAGCCCTGCAGAGTTCAGATCCAACCCTGAAAACAAAACTCACCTGCCTATAGCCTTAGTAATCCTGAAGATATTGATTAGCTTGTTCAGGTGTGTTTGATTAGGGACCCTGGTCCTCTGCAGGACTGCGGCTGTCTAGGATCGAACTTGCCTACCCCTGAGCTATACATTCACAAGCTCAGTCACTGGGGCAACTAATGCTGGGAAACTAACCTGGTCCGGGTCAGGCTAACTGTCAGGCTAAGCCTGAGTTCCTCTAACACTGACCAGTAGAAATACAATGATATTACTAACTCTCTCACATACAATTTTTCAACTTTATTAACCACTATCAATCCAAAAATAAAATAATGCAGAAAAAGCTACATAAATAATAAATAAAATAAAATAAATAAATAATAAACTAATTTGAGCTTAGTAATTGACCCTTCACAAAGATCCACCTCAGTTATCGTGACAGATCGCTGTAGCACCTCGGTTCAAGCAGCACAGCTCTTTACTAGTTATAGCACGAATGAACATCAGAAGGTATCTTGTTTTAATCGCGGAAAGCTGTTAATACACACCATTTTTCCAGTTCAAGTCCACTGACATTAATCTACTCTTCTGTCTGGATTGTCGGACAAAATAGCAGATTCGTCATTATGGATAGTCAGATCAAGTGTCAATCGCCCATTAAAAATAGTCCCTTACAGTTACTGCTATCTCAAAAATACACTTACTTGTAAGTTTAAAATTCTACACGAGGCACATTTATTGTCCAACAACAAATACTTTAGC